TCTGTATTTTGTGTTTTGTAAGAACACAGATTCAGGGATCTCTATATCACGTACTGCACTCATATGGTAGATACATCCTTTAATTTCTGTAGAACCTTCAACATGTAGAGTGATAGGACTAATGAAAATATACTCAGAATTCACAGTTCCCATACTATTATATATTTAAATAATTATAGCCTAAACTAATTTAGATATGATACCAGTAATAAGAGTAAGGTCTCTTACCTACATCACATCCTACTGCAGAATTTAATTTGAAGTGAAGAACCTTATAGGATTCCCACTGAATTCAGTGAGTGCAAGATCAGGTTTTATGTGCGTGACATCTGCACAACACAGATATCTTCAGTGTAAACATGAATGTATGGAGAAGGAGACATTTGAAGCACTTCATCCTATTGTATTTTTACAGAGGATTTTGTTTGGTATAATGCTAGAAAGGGTACAGTATACAAAATGGAGTAATTTATATCAAACTGCAGCATGACTATGAGTAAGTTCCACACAGTAGGTTGCTATGTAAACTCTAATCTTAGGAACCTACTGGGATACAGGAAAAAGCTAATTAGAAAGATCAGTGTCTATCAAACTATGTCCAAATAAAGAATGTTAACATGAATAAAGAATGACACTGTAGACAACGAGGAGTAAGACAGTATAACAAGAGAGCTAGCTGATATGTGATTTAAACTAAAATAAAAGCAAATATGCTAATTTGCACATGAATGCTGATAACTGGCATTGATTACACTCCAGATGTTTCTGTTTTTCAGATTCAGGAGCAGAAGTCCCTGTTGCAAATGTCTTTATAACACATTACCACTCCCAAAGCAATATGTACCTTGGTCATGATGTCACAATGTGGAAATGGGGAGCTTTTATTAGCACTCACTAGATTTGTGCACGTAAACATGGAGTACCAAGAAGGGAAAACTAAACAACATTTCACAGTTTCTTCTGCTGTGCATGGTCATGCAAATAACGAGCTATGGCTAGCATACACTTCACTTACAATAATCATCTTACTGTAAACAGGCTAAGGAAAAACATTTATTTTAATATTTATTTACATTCAAATGCAATTTCTGTGTGACTGTCCTCTGGTTATGGCTTTAGTCCAGGTGTAAGTCAACAGGGTACTCCATCCTGATTTTTCTTCTATGTTCAAAAGTAATATCAATAATATTAATGGTAGTAGAGTGAAAACTGTCCACTGTCCTGAAATATTTCTTTTAATTTATATCAAGAAGCTAGGACTAAGGAGTATCTTCATGTGTGCCATGCTAAGTAAAAACCACAAACCACCCCACCACCATCACCACTACACCCCCCACCCCCACCCCCAATAGTACATTAATCTTTAAAACTGGACTGTCAGAATCACAGTATTTAATGTTGATTCTTAAATAATGTCCAGTAACGATGGGTGAGATTTTGGATCCTGTTTCGTTCTGTGTTTTGTTACAATGCTATAATGGGACCTACTGTTTGTAGAATAAGTATGATGAAAGAGCCATTAACGAGATTTGCTCATCTTTGGGTGGTGAAAGGAGTTCTGGGCAGACAGCTGCAAATAACGCCTACCTTCAGTCTACCCGCAGTGTACCTGCGGGAATATTTTAACAGACAAGATTAGTGAAGAAGTTAAAAAATATATTTACATATGAAACTTTCTGCATAAATTTCTGTATCAGTCCATGTACCAAGATGAGTGGTGAGAATGATCCCTGACAAGCAAGTGAAAAATACAGGAAATGGGCATAGCAAAGGATTACTATTACTACTATACTATAAGGTGAAATTAGCTTCAAAATCAATGCTATAGAATTAAAAATACTGTATAGCACTCTAATGACATTCCTCTGCATTATAGTGAAATAAGAAAATTCTGCTTGCACTTTCACTGACTTTTGTTTTAAATAAAATCCCTTTCTCACTGCAGTAGTCCTCAGTGAAAGTCTATGGCAGTTTTTAGGAGTCCTTTCATTTACTTTGAAAGCTTTGGCAAAGCTTATAAATAGTAAGTGTAGATTAAAATTGTGTTAATTTGCAGTCCAAATACAAAGAGGATATGGAGGCTGTTCTATATTTTTCTTCCTATACAGACAGGTAAGAATGATATAGATGTTCCACTTGTTTACCAGCCAGCAGATTTGAGCCAATGCACTAGATCAGGAAAATACACCGTCAGATAGGAGACATTTGCAAATTTCTTCTCTGTCTGTACAACAGTGGAACAAAGATAGTGTAGTCCTATGTCAGAGGGCATGAACAGGATAATAATTTCACCTCTCAGAGAGGAAGTAGAACTCAAAAGAGTATTTGTTGTCAGTAGTATAAACAAGCATCAAAACGAAGGCTACAGTCTCATTGCGCTTTCTGCATGCTGGTTAAGGAATTTAGTGAAATTACAAAATGGACATATTCACATAGAATATACAAGGGAATATACAAGGGAATAAAAAAGAATATACAAGAATACACGGGGGAATTCTACAGACCTCTCTTGAGCAATAATCTCATGGCATTTTACACATGTTCATTTCACAGAAGTGACACCTCTGTAATTTTAAGCAGAGTTCTAGGTCAAGTAAATCCTTAATTTGGTATAGAGTGTTTAAATAGCAAAATATATTTTAACCCAATGGGAATATTTCCATAAACTTCAAAGGAAACAGAAAAGGAGCTCCAAAGCAGATAGGGGAAAGGGAGGTCACAGCATAAATAGAGCTGTTTTGAAGTACAAGAGGACATGTGTATGAATATTCTTTTACATTTCCTTATTTTTAGTTTATTTCCACTTATAAATCAGGTTATGTTGCAATGCTATCTTTAGATGAATTAATATTTACTAAAATAAATCTCCACATATGTTGTGGTAAGGTATTAGCTGTCTTTTTCTACCTGCCAAGCCACAGAAATGCGGTGTTCAGATCACAGCTAACCCTTGCAGGAGGTTAAAACCTGCACAGGAACAAAAGCACAAACACCAATATGGTGGTTGCTATTTGCTCAATTTATTAACTGCACAATTTCTTTATATATGCCTTTCTGTACATCGTGAGATCTTTAGTTCCCTGTTCTTTCCGTACATTGTGAGATCTTTCATGCGCCTCTATTCTTCCCGTACATCGTGAGATCTTCCAAGCGCCTCTCCCTACACTTCCCCCTCCCCATGCTTTATCAGCCATGTGTCAAAGGTTGTATAAGGCCGATGCCTCCTAGATCTCCCCTTTCTTTGTTTTGCAGTGGCACCTGCAAGACTTGTTTGAATCAATCAAGGGTTAGACAAACTTCAAAAACATAGCATACTTAGAATAGTTCCATAGAAGGCTACAACAATATAGCAGTTATAATTACTAGTTAAAAGATAAGCCAATTTCACTATTTTTAATTAAGGGATATGACTAAATACTACAAAAATAAACAGGAAGGAAAATATGGAGTAGTACACTTAATTAATAGGAGTACTAACATTCAGATCCACAATTGCTAGAGAACCCTGGATGCAACGAGAATTTAGAGTGCCGTTCCTCGCAAACTGGAAATTCTACCTGATGCGTCCATCCATAGGTGAGGCATCCAACGTCGCTGCAAGCAGGTCCAGCCTCTAAATCAACAGGCCAAAATAACCGGCAATTTTCTTTGAGCAGAAACATCTGATTTTATCCTCCTCTTGGGTTCCACCCAGAGCCTGTCCAGCACTCCAGGGGGAAAACCAAGGGAGTTTCTAATAAGGTTAAACACTTTTCTTAATTCTTAATATTGCTAAACAAAGAAAGTTGAATACACACATTCTTATAGCATTTCATCCTCATTAATAACCACATTCCATCTAAACTACATCTTTCACTATTGACTAGTAAGCCTAGATATTTCATTAAGGAGTTGCAATTACTGTTAGCATTTTCTCTTAAAAGAATTGGTGACTGTAGTGTGGTTTGTTCTGTTGCAAAAGCAAACATTACCCAGACATTCTGCTTAAATGATCAGTTGAAGAGATTACAAATGGTTGGTACAGCTGGATCCTGAGTGCTGGCTGCCTCTCACGCCTCAGGTATGGTTACACATACCTTGCCAGTAATGACCAGGGACTGTGACCTGTGAACACACAAGCATAACCTCTTCCCCAGGTTATTAAAGAAAATGGTTCTATTTGTACCACATCCCTCCACCATCCACTAATTTGACCTTGCCAAATGGTTGTACTGTTGCCACCAGAATTAATATTTTGGGCAATGGCATTGACCTGTGAAAAGGTCATCTTTGCCCAACTATCGTTTGATACCAGCTCAATAAACTCTTATGGGTTAAAGTATGGAACTCTTAATAGACATGTTTGGAACAGATCAGATGGCATTGCCATAGATAGACAAAAGGGTTCTTTTCCTGTCTCATTTGCTATAGTTACCCATAAGTTGAGTATGGGCAAGATGGTTCATCTAGCGAAAGATCCAAGTAGCCAAAGGCCACAGAAAATCTCCAAAAACTTTTAAGAAGAAGTGATTATTTCAGGTTTTATACATCGTGCAGGTATCCATTTAATTAAACCATCCTTTTCCACTGCTGTGTACCCACGCCGAACACTCTCAACGACCAGCCCGATTCCCATGCCATCGCTCCTGGTTCCTTGATCTTAACCAAAGAATAGTTTTTTGTCGCCTGGGTTGGCATAAAATGTTTCCACAGGAGAGGTGTGGACTCGTCGCTCTAACAAAGTGATTTAGAGCATAAAGGGTGCGGGACAAAAAAGTCTGCTCTCTGTCTATGGGTATTGTCCCCTTATGACCTCCCCCCTCCCCAAGCTGTTGTAGTTTTGCTTTTAGGGTGCGATGCGCATGTTCTACTATTGCTTATCCTTGAAGGTTGTAAGGAAGGCCATGTACTAACCTGATGTCCCATAATTCACACCATTCTTTGGTACGTTTAGCGATTAAACAAGGGCTGTTATCTGTCTTGATTTCTTGTGGCTTCTGTAATAAGGTAATGATGCCCTCCTAATGAATAATAACGTGTCTGGCTGTTTGTTTGCAAGCCATTGTGGCTAATATTGTAGAGCTAAAGGTGTCAATGGTTACTATGAGGCATTTATTTCATTTTAGTAGGTCACATTCTGTTATGTCAGTTTGCCATATCTGATTGGAAGAGAGACCCCTTAGATTGACACCTGCTTCCCACAGTGGGCCCTTTTGACAGTAGGGACAAAGTGCCGCTATGTTTTTTGCTTGTGACAGAGAAATATGACAGGTTTTCGCTAAGGCTTTTGCTCTGAGGTGTAGAAAGGCATGTAAATATTTTGCAGCATCTAGTGACCATACACCCCGAGCCACCTGGTCAGCCTTATGATTGCCTTCTACAACTGGACCAGGTAAGGATTGGTGACTGTTCACATGTGTAAGAAAGGCCTGCCCTACGCGTTGTTGTAGAACATCATAAAGTTGACACTTCTGTTTGTACAAATCCTACTGTTGTCATTTTGTGTACAAGTTTATAAACATATAAAGAGTCTGTAACATTATGAATTAGATTCTCTGTTTCCTGCCATCTGGACCGCGTTGGCTTCTAACAATTATACCGATTTATTAGTCTGAGTCCACAATTTCTTTTGCCAGCGTCCTTCAGCTTTCCATACGACTGCAGCTGTTTACAATTGTGATGAGGCGTCTGTTAAGTATGTTGTGCCATTAAGAAGGCGCCATGACTAGAGGTAGTGTAAGTTGTAGCTGAAGTGTTTTCAAGTGTGAAACCCATTGTAGACCCTTTCCAGTTACTATGGAGCCCGGAAAGTCAAAGATGGTACATTGTAAGTCTTCCGAACGCATAACTATGTCGTCCCACACTTGCTGCTTCCAGGGGATGAGTATTGTGTCAGGTTCCTTTCCAAAGTGTTGAAGGGTCATATTACAAATTCCAAAGTGTTGAAGGGTCATGTAGGCGCCCTATAAGGTCTGCTACAACAGCGACTATGGTAACAAAGGCAGACTTGTTGGTATTTTGGTAAGCCCAGGCTAAAGGTGCAGGCTTGCCGTCCGTACCTTGAAACAGGATGCTTATTTTGCCATGTTCAGAAATAAAGCACCCTGCTGTGATTGGCTGTTTTGGATCCCATCGCTGCAAAGGTCTCTGTTGTTGTAAAATAGCTTGTATAAGTGTTAAATTGTCCTGACACTCCTTTGTGAGTTTCCTTGGTTCCCACAAGTGTTCTCCTTTCAGAAGTTCATAAAAGGGTTGCGTAAGTCCCAAGGGAATACAGATAAAGCTGCGGAGTCACTGCAAGGCTCCTACTAATTTCTGAACACCATGAAGAGTGGCAATGTTTGGAGCAAGAGCTATTGGTTGTGGACCTATATCGTTTCCAGGTAAAGTCATGTGCAGATATTGTAATCGCGTACCTCGCTGAATTTTTGCCTCGGCAATACTCAAATTATGTTGTTGCAACAAGGCTTTGGCATGCTGGAACAGGTGTTCCACTTGCTGTTCTTTAGGTGCTGCTAATAATATGTCATCCATATGGTGTACCACATGATGGTCAGTCTTATCTTCTCTCAACGGTGCGATGGCTTTGGCCACATACGGCTGACAAGTGACAGGTGAGTTTTTCATACCTTGAGGTACTACAGTCCATTGCCAACGCTGAGCTGGTTGAGTGAGGTTCACAGAAGGCACGGTAAAAGCAAATCTTTGTTTGTCAGTGGGATGTAAAGGGATGCTGAAAAAACAATCTTTGATATCAATAATCACAATGGACCAATCTTCTGGTATGGCGGAACCCCAGGGCAATCCAGGTCGCTGGGCACCCATTGCCTGCATATTTTGATTTATTGCCCTGAGGTCATGGAGTAAGCGCCACTTAGACTTATCTTTCTTTTGGATAATGAACACAGAAGTCTTCCAAGGGCTTGTAGAGGGTTCCAAATGACCCGCCTGTACTTCTCTTTCCACTAGTTGTTGAAGTGCACTTAGTTTTACTGAGTTAAGCAGCCACTGCCCAACTCACACTGGTGAAGAAGTTAACCATGTAAGTTTTAAGGGTGGTATGTGCTCGGCAGTGGCCTATAACCTAAATTTGTAATGCCAATTTTCATTTGTTTCATGCAGTCACAGCCCAACAAAACTCACTGGAATTCTGCTAATACTATAGGCTTCAGTATCACAATCAAGGCCTCCTTTTCCTGGTCTTGGATTTTAAATGTTGTGTCAGTGATTGCTTTGTACACTGGTTTTTCTCCTCCAACACCTGCCACGAATCCCCCAAATGTAGTCTGCCACTGCCCTGGCCACCATTTTTCACCCACTACTGTTATATCCGCTCCTGAATCAATCATGGCCTGCAGCACTATTTCTTCTGTTTTCCTGGGTGAGGCTGGCTCATCCAAACGGTGACCATGGGCTTGTCGCTACAATCTAGAACAAGAGCCACGGTTCCTGGCTCGGAGGGACCTTTTGTGGACAATTGCAGGCATATTTGATTGTGACTTGGGGAGTATAGGAAAAGTTGTCTCTGATTTGCGGGGGTTGCCTGTGGGGTATTGGAGGATCCCGGCCCCCATTCCTGGGATCAACCTAACTGGGTAAGCATGGTTGTAGGTTCAAGCTTCACGCCTGACATTGCACACTCTTTAGCTATGAGCTGCCAATCAGTAGGATGTTTTTGTAAAGAAGAAGTAGTCCCGCCCAGGATCAGGTGTGTGTTCTGTTGGGTGGAGGTTGCCAGTGTTTGCACCGCTGCTGTCAGTTCTGCTAGCAATTTCGTCATTTCCTCCTCCGGTTTCTTCTCCTCCCTTTTTGGCATCGTTCCTCCCTTTCCCATTTGATTGGATTTTGGACTGCTGCCGTCTGATTCGTTATCTGACTCCGCCTGAGTTTTTTGATCTTGCCAATGAGCAAACTGAACACCAGAATAAAATTCACTGGACCAAGACATATTTGAAAAAAATACAGAAATATAACGGGAATATTAACATGTGGGAATAATGTACCTTTTCTATAAACTCATCCCTCCTGACGGGCTTCTTTTCCCCATATCAAGGGATGTCTGTGCAAGCATAAGGGAAAACCTACAAGAATAATTCTTTATTTGCAGGCTTTAGAAGATGTTGGGCATCTAGACTAGTGAATAATTACCTACTAGGCTTTTCATAACTACCTAAATGAGCTACGTACCTAACTCCTCTTGGATACCAACTAATATGTTGGAAACGTGTTTTCATTTTGGAAAGCCCACATAAGCAGTTGTTCAGCTATTCCTGTTTGAAGAGGGTAGGCATTTTTTTCTGATAAGTAAAAAGACATAAATATTTATCTTCAGATTAAGCCTTAGTCATCTTTCTTCTTGGAGATATACTCAGTAAGAGATAAAACTTTTTGTCTTTGTTGTGTTTCATTTGATTGTTTTCTGCCTAAAAACTTTTATAAAATGGTTTACATAACACTAGCTACATGGGCAGAAATTAAAAATAAATATTTTATTTTACTTTTTAAAGGGGTGACAAATGGACTAAAGGAAATGGTGTGTAAATATTGTGTGTTCCCTTCCAGCATAATGCAAATGAAAGATAAAAATTAATTCAGGATCTCTTGAGCTATAAAAAATGCATAAGTATATGCATGTCAATATATTGGGATATATATTTTGTCCTGGAGTTGACTATATCAGAAAATTGCCATTTCAAAACTATTTTCTAGCCAGATTTTACAAAATAAAAATTGTGTGTTTTTTATTCCCTTCTTTTAGGCTATCTTAAGTCAGAAATTATTCTACATTTCTATTCATAACAGAACTCCTGGGAGTTTTCCCTTTTTAAATTCAGCATAACTGGTTGCCAGCAAAAGCCATTCAAAGATCAAAGACGAGACACAGTCAGCACTACAACAAGCAGTATATTTACTCCTTGAACCATTTGCAACAACAAAAGTTGGCACATATAGTAGAAGTTAGTGTTGTTACATAATGCTTCTAAATTCTTTCTTTGCATGTCATCTGTAAATCATCTGCATGTTCAGATATGGCAGCAAATTATTTTAATTTAACTGTTCTTAATGTTAAGGGGGGCATTAAAAGCTCCCCGAAAGCTTTACTTGTCAATACCAAGTCTTAGCTCTATCAGTACAACTACATTTCTGTGAGCTAATAGAGCTTTAGACAGTACTAACCCCTCTTGAAGACTTTTGGTGTATTTTTATTAACCTGTAGATGTGATAACTTATTTACTATTGCAACTATTTTGAAGATTAAAAGAAGCTTTTAAAAAACACTTCTCTTTTCAGCAGTGAGTGACAGTTAACTAAGCAGACAAGTCAAAAGGAAATCAATAAAGACAACCTAAGGTCAGAAGTGAGGAAGTCAATGCTTGTACACAGTTAAAGCAACCTATCATCAGCAGATGAAGTTAGAAGTAACACTGTAAGCAAACACTGGATTTTGCCTCTGCACTTTCTTCTTTCAAAAATTCACACAAGCAACTTGTCTGTTTTGCTTAGGAACAGCTGACCTTCACGGAGTAAAATCTATTCAGAAGTTAAAATATGTCCCTAAATTAACAGAGTATTATGGAAATACTTCCTTTTTTTTCTTTTTCTTTTTCTTTTTCTTTTTCTTTTTCTTTTTCTTTTTCTTTTTCTTTTTCTTTTCTTTCTTTCTTTCTTCCATTAAAGTTACTGTAAAATAGAGATAAGTTTAGTCATATCAAATGAAAAATCTTTGATAATGCCATTCTTGTCTACTGCTCTTTTCAGTCATGAATATCAAGGATGTAAACTGATACTAAAAATTCAGTTTAAACAAAAAAGATATTTGTCAAATATAGCCTGCATATAAAAGTTTAGCTAGTTCTACCTTCTCTAAAAGAATAATGAAGGGGAAACTGGTGGAAGCAGAGCTGTTAGTGGGAATTTTGTCATACCCTTTAATATAGCTTTGAATATGCTCAGTCTGCCTAAACACCAAGAAGATCAAGGACTAAGAATGCACGGATAGTATAGCACTAGATCCCTGTTAATTTACCCCAGATTGAAACAGAATACATGATTTTACATTTGGAATTGTAGAGACACAGCTTTTATCCTATTTAGGAAAGTGGAGAACAAACACATATCTGGTTAGAAAAAAAAGACATTATATAACACACAAAAAAATACACATATAGTCACAGCCACTGTCTGGTCCTCTTTCAACATAGAACTAAGTGATCTGGGCTGCTTGATATTCCTAGGTGTAAATAAATTGACATCCAAAGACAAATATGATATTCCAAAATAAGTCCAACAATAAAGCAAAATATCTGAAACATTTTAGTAGCTAACATCACAAAATTCCACATAGAACTCTTCCTAATATAGGAATGGAAAGTTGCTCAAAGAGAAGATTGTTGCTTTGCTAATGTGTTTAGCTTAAACAGTAGCAATACAGTTAATATTTCCAAGTCACTGTATATTTGTTAAGAGCAAAATTCTTCAATATCAGTTTATTAAAAATCGATCGGTTGCTGAAGTTCAGGAACCATTGCAGAGAGTGGGTACCAAAATTTCCCTTGTGGTTTACTGCCTATAAAAAAGTAATATACTTAAAATAATTTACTAGTGAACGGACTCTTTGGAAAGGTTTTCTTTCTGTTACTCAAAACAAATTCCCATTTGACATACACTGGTTTTCAGATATTTCAGTGGGACAACCTCTAATTCATACTGATGTGAAACTACACGTGCATTCCTTATTTGTAAAAACTATATCAGGCTGGAAAACCTAAACATTTTCTTTCAAACACAACGTGAAGCAAATAAAGAAAGAGATGTCATTCTAATTTACAGACATTACCTATGTATTTCAACACTGTAAATGTCATCGCTATTTAAGCTTCCATGTTTATTTGGGCAGGCTTAGAATTAGTGAATTTCTTGGATAAGTTTTTTCATAGCCTTCCTTACTGCTGCAAGAAAAAAATGTAGGAACTTGCTTCCCTTTGTCAGGTTGATTAAAGGTTTGTCCTTTTTTCATTCTGTCTCGGGTCTTGGTTACATGCCTACAGGGTGACTCCCTTAAGCAGAGCATCTTGATGCACTTACAGCATTGAGCGTGCCAGAATTAGTAAGTCAGATGACCCTACTGATTAAATCTGGGAACATAGATGGTTGTAACTGATTTTAGTACATCCACTATTTTATCCAATCTTTCTATAAGCTGTCAAAAGTCTACAGCCACTGACTCAACAAAGATTAACCTATCTGTTAGAAATATGAGTCTACCATAGATGTCAAAAAAGACAAAACAAGCTAAGTTCAAGAGTTTTCCACAAACTGCTTTATATATGCCATATCTTGTGATTCTCAGACCATTGTGTAGGATGTCATTCTCTTAGAGAATTATTCTCACTAGTAAATTTCTGAGTATGTATTATTGAAAAGCCTTTTGTAAAGATGTTTTTTCTAGAAAAAAAAAATATTTCAAAAGGGTGCTAGTTTTAGTGACACATTTGAGCTAATGTCAAGCAGGTTATCTAGAAGCAGCATGGTTCTGCTCAGCAGGGCTAATTTGCCCTAAGCCAACCAAAGCAGCTTTTACCAAGGTAGCAAAGCTATCTCTGTGTCCTCAGAGCTGGACAAAGGACTGCAGGTGGGGTCTCAGGAGAGAGGAGTAGAGGGGGAGAATCCCTTCTCTCGACCTCCTGGCCACACTTCTCTTCATACAGCCCAGGATACTGTTGGCTTTCTGGATGCAAGTGCCCATTGCTGGCTCATGGTCATTTTTCCATCCACTACTACCCCCAAATCCTTCTCTGCAGGCTGCTTTCAATCCACTCCTGTAAATACAGCCTCTATTTGTGCTTGGGATTTCCCCGACCTATGTGCAGGACCTTGCACTTGGCCCTGTTGATCTTCATGAGGTTTGCCCGGTCCCACCTCTCCAGCCTGTCCAGGTCCCTCTGGATGACATCATCTGCAGATGATCCTTGAATATTAACCAACTTTCTTGGGCCCCTCTTCCCTCAGGTTTTTATGCAATGCTACCCTGCCAAGCAGGGATCTGCTTTGCATAGACTTGGTCAAGTGGGTCCGAAGGAGGCCACGAAGATGATCAGGGGGCTGGAGCACCTCCCCTGTGAGTACAGGCTGAGAGAGTTGGGGTTTTCAGCCTGGAGAAGGGAAGGCTCCAGGGAGACCTTCTGGAGGCCTCCAAGTACTTAAAGGAAAGCTGAGGAGGGACTCTATCAGGAAGTGTAGTGATAGAATGAGGGGTAACAATTTTAAACTGAAAGGTAGTAGATTTAGATTAGATATGAGGAATAAATTCTTCACTGTGAGGGTGGTGAGGCACTGGCACAGGTTTCCCAGAGAAGCTGTGTCTGCCCCCTCCCTGGCAGTGTTCAAGGCCAGGTTGGACGGGGCTTTGAACAACCTGGGCTAGTGGAAGGTGTCCCTGCCCATGGCAGGGGGGGTGGGACTAGGTGAGTTTTAAGGTCCTTTCCAACCCAAACTGTTCTATGACTCTATGACACTACATGGGTGTGAAAAAAATGGATCTATAAACAACTTGTAAAATAAAATATTTAAAGAGATAAAAAAGCCACCTTGAACTTAGCACCTGATTATATCTGGTTTACTCTCAAATTTAAGTTAACCTTCCTGTAATTGGCAATCATAAGTCTTATATTCCAGCAGCCATTTCCCGTCATCATTTTAGAATTTCAGTCTGCTACCAACTATAAAGATTAAAAAAGAGGTCTTGTTCAATTTCAGTCCAATTTTGTTTTTTACTCATT